CAGGGCACCCTTGGCCTCTCAAAACTGTGTGCAAAACAAAGTGTGTGCATTTTCCAATGAGATGATAGAGATTTCTCTATCAGGTTCTCAAGTGGTCCACATGACTGAAAAACTATTTCTGTCTTACTATTTTGAGATGACCATTTTTATTATGTTTAATTTCTAAAAATTAAAGATGGAATTGCCTTCCTTTACCTCTGATTTTATAATCTACATTTGAATAATGTAATAAGCTGAATGTGGTTTAAATGATTGTGTATTAAAGGCTCTCTGTGGAAATCTTTCTAACCCTAACACATTTAGGGAATCCTGTGTCTATACTATGTTCCAGTTTGAGTTTTAAATCTCTCTTATACCCCAGATAACATTCTAGCCAGCTGTGGTGTGGGCCTCTGAGCAGTAAGAAGGAGCCCTGGTTGAAGGGGCCCATTCCAGGAAATGAGCCAGGGGACCTCAGGTCTTGTCCATCCAGTCCAGGTTCATATTTCTTAGCCCCTACAGAGTTTTGAAAAAATAGAAAAGCACAGGAATTTAACCCATCTTTAAAGAAATGGTGCAGACCAATGTGTGTCCCCACCTACAAGGCTTATTGTGTAGGACCCAACTGTATACAAATCTAAGAACACCAGTGACTCCAGCAGGTGATACCCCAAGGTCGACTGAAGGTCAGCTTCAGGAGATTGGACAGCTAACTGTAGGCAGGTTCACAGCAGCTTCTCTTAAAAAGCTTCTAGGAGGTTCCCAAGTGGCCCGTTGTCAGCAATGGGGAAGGGATGTGAGGAGAAGGTTCACATCACATAAGAAGCTAAAAATGCCCAAAGAAGGTACCCTCATCCACTTACAGCCTCCCTGGGAAGTGGCCCTCATACTGGGACTTGGTGGCACGGATGGGCATCTGGCCTCCCTGCTTCGTGGGGCTTTGCAAAGACGCTCCCTGCTCTGCTCAGTGACAAGTGAGGCTGACAGGGTGTAAGGGGAGCAGTGGGCAGATGCCTGTTCCCCAGCTGCCCACTGAGAAATTGGAGCTCTGACCAGCCCAGGCTTCATAAATGCTTTATGTTGGAAATGAAACGTGGCAGCTCTGTAGGCTCACCAGCATTCAGGAAATCATGTGCTGGTAGCCACCTCCACAAACTGGCATTTTTCAGTCATTTTTGCTTTTATTTCTCAGCTTAATCCCATCTTTCACTGCCTCCCTGTTGCTTTTTAAAATAAGCCTAACCTTTTGCTCTGTTCCCTCTCCACTAATGCTGACTTACAGAGCACAGAGAATTCTCGGTGGAAGGCCACCTCCTGAAACTAAGTGTTGTATCTCCAGCTTCCTCAGGGACACTGCAGTGACCGTCATTTGTCAGGGAAAAATCACTTACCCACCTTGTGCTTAAGACTGTTCAGTGCTGTCTTGTCAAATGATAAATAGTTTTGTGATGTTTAAATTTGCACCCTTCTCCAAAGCTGCATCACCATCTACTGGGCTAAAATCGCTTCTGTGGTCATCACAGACACAGCAGCTACCCCCACAGGGGAAGAGGGGATCTCAGAGGCCTGCCTGCAGGAAAAGTACATTTCCATCAGGCCTGTTCCATTAGGCCACCTAAAACAGGCAGCCCAAGACTGACCTTCTAACACTGATCTTCAGGTCATTCCACTGCCCTAGAGATGCCACCTCCTCCACACCTCCTGTTCCTAAGTGGCACCCAACTCCACATTCATCTGCTCACCAAATCTTATTCATTTTCTGACCTGAGTAACTTGAGTCATAGTCCCCTTCTCCCATCATCTCTATCCCTAGGTTTTAAGCATAAGGGAATGATTCCAAGCCTGAGCACAGATATAAAATGTGGGTGAGGCAAGAGAGGCACCTGGGGCATAAAACTGAAGGAGGCAGCCATTCTCCAAGCCGTGAGAGCATCGTGTCAGCTGCATTCTCGATCCTATGGCTTCATCCCTCTCTTGCCTAACCCTAGTCCCAATCCTACAAGTGGTTTTCTTTTGTTATTGCCAAAATCTTTGTGTGCTCATTCACACATCACACATAACACAACATACCCACCCAGGTGGTACCCCTGGGCTCAGAGGCTGCTGCTCAGGGCCTGCATACTTGAAGGATCTCCCCCATGCAGACAGACATGGTGATGGGAAGGAGCAGATGGACAATCATGCTTCTTGAGTTGTCACTTTTCTTTATGGAGGTTTTCCCTTCTGGTCTTCATATTACCTGATTTCATTCTCTGGTTTTATATCAAGACATCAGCTTTGTTACTAAGGAATCCCCGTGACACTCAGGTAATCAAATCAGCACACAGGACAGGTTCCACTGCAAGATCCTGAGTGCAGTAGGGGAATATCATGAGCCATGGCGAAGGGTGTAGGTGAACCATAGGTACTCATTATTAATAATCATCAAAAGCCACTGATGACCTGCACTGCAGGTAAGGTGGAGAAGAGTCGAGTTTAACTCCATAACACTGTCCCATTCTCTAGGATTCTCTAGACGTCTGAAATGTTTTCTTCAGCAGGAGAGAAAGCAGTGGCCTTACCAGCACTGTTTCATCTATGAAGTTCTGTGTGCGCACATGCAAGGTGCCAGGCTCCCTCGGTGTGTCCTGTTGGGACAAAGGCTGAGGACAGTGGCTCGCACGCTCATCAGCCCAGGAGCCCAGACGCACGACATCTCTGAATGCTGCCTCTCCAGGGTTTCTCTTGGAGAAGCTCTCTGGAAATCATCTGCATATATTTGGATGTCTGTCCAGTGGGGTCCCATGCAGGGCGTTACACCTCTTTCTCATTCACTAAGTACATGTGGGCTCCATTCCCATTACCTTTTCATCGCAGTCCTTGATTAAAGCACCTTCCCTGCTGTCTTCTCTCTTCTAGTGGTTCCACTCTTACCTTCTGGCTGAAAACTACTCCAGAAAACACTGGATTGTGCTGGTCCTCATAGGCCACCCCAGTCCTCTGTAACACATCATCCCCTATTACACACTCTCGCATGTGCGCACACACACACTTCAATTGCCCATTTCCTACCTTTTATAACAGCTGTGGTCATAAGGAGCTGTTCATTCAGGGTCATTCTTCTCTCTGTTTACTGCACCTGCCCCCAGTGAGTTCCCCCACCTCCAGGCCAAGTCCCCTCTGGTCCCTATAGGAATGAAACGTACCTATGAGACATTTGGCCATGTTAGCCAAGGCTCATGTGTCCTCATGGGGGTGCAGTCGTTCACTGGAGGAACAGTTTCTGGGGCAATGCAGATTTGAGTTTAAACCCAGCTCCATCCCCTACGACCTGTGTGACCTGTATCACTTTTGGAGCATCTGGATCATCATCAATAAAAAGGAACAACAATTTACACCGAAGTTTGTATAAAAATGAGGTACCATTCTGCCTGGAAGCAGCACAGTGTCGACACGCAGTAGGTTGCTAACAAAGGCTGCTGTCTCTTCTGCCCTTTGTTATCTGAAAGGGCGTCTCAGGGTTGGGGAAAGGCTGTGTGCTTTTCCTTCACATGGCGTGCCCTTTCGAACACTGCTGGAACTGGCATTTTATCCGCTGGTACTCCTTTGTGAGAACATCTGGGTGTTCTGAAAACAGAATCTGAATCCTACTTAAATTTATTTCCAAAATCGTCCTGTGGAAGGGTGAGGAAGGAAAGGGGAAACAATCAGTGATGAAAACAATAGCTTCATGAAAGAAAGAAAGAGGCGGTATGTGAATCATGGTCAGCCTACTGCCTTTTCTCTTCAGTAGCTTTGATCCCGCTGCAGGCTTACAGAATCAGACACGGCTGGCGTTCCACCCATCGCCGCTGCTCTCACCGGCCCATCTCGGGAGCTGAAACGGAGCGCACAGCACCTCGCCCCTGTCCTCGCAGACGCAACAGCCCACCTTGATAAGTCCAAGGGGACATTCCAGTGACTTGTTAGAAAGGGATTTTCCCAAACATCACACAAGTAACATTTCTCATCCACAAGATCGTAAGAGAAAATAGAGCCTTTGTGTCCCAGCAAACCAGGGACAGGGCTGTGCTAGTCCAGGAAGGAAGACGCACACACGCCCTCTTCTTCTCCGCAGCCCCTTCATTTTAATCCCTCCACCCCTCCTCAAGCTGAAGCATTTTTTTCAAGAGGTCTTTGTTAAGCTAACTTTAATTTAAATGGAAATGATGTTGAAAATCAGAAGAAATGTTCCTTACCATTTTAGGACTCTCCAGGCTTAGGCATTTTGTTGTTAAAATGTTTAGGTGAGTCAATTTCTGTTTAGACGATGATGATGGGAGTCAGAAAAAACAATTCTAATAAGTTCAAGGATAATGGCTGCGTGGTTTGATGATGACCACGGCTACAAGACAGAGGTTCCCTCTGCGCGCCCGCACGCGAGGCTGGGCCCTCAGGGTCTCTGCCACGGCCCTCGGGGTGTCCTCTGCTGCAGCCCTCGGGTCTCTGCCATCCGTGGCCTAGGCTTCACCTAGACGGGAGCCACGCGTGACGTGTCTCGCATGGAGCCTCTGCTCGCAGAGAATGTGTCGTGGTCGCTCCGGCGCCTCCCTGCCGCGGGCCGGCGTGGAGGCATGACGACGGGCTTCTGTGCAGACCCCATCTTCACTAGACTTTAGTTCTACGGGAGTTCGCCTGCATCTCAGAGACGGGCTCGTCCTGCCTGGAGAGCTCGGAAGCCTTTCCTTTGCGGCTCATGAGTCTGGGGACAGGCGCCCTGCTCCCCCTGCTACCTGCTGGTGTGGCAGGAGTGTCTGGGCTTCCTGACCCACATGTCAGCCTCAGGTTCCATTTGGCCCTTGGGGATTCAGCTGCAGAAATGGCCTCAACCAAATTAATAACTAGTTTTTAAAGGCTACTAATTTTTTATCTCGCTTTCCTTAATGGCAGAGTATGTTACTTGCTGCTTTTTTCCACCTCAGGCCATGTCTTCCTTGTGGCTGACCACACTTTCTACGAGATGCATTCACTTTAAAACCACCAGTCTCCCTTTTCTCTCACAGGTAGCCATAGATTTCACCGCCTCCAACGGGGACCCCAGGAACAGCTGCTCCCTGCACTACATCCACCCGTACCAACCCAACGAGTACCTGAAGGCCCTGGTGGCCGTGGGGGAGATCTGCCAAGATTATGACAGGTACAAGGCTCCCAGTGGGCTCGGGCCCCATGTCCACGTGGGTGCTGGTGGTCCCGGGCTGATCCTTGGCAAAAGAATGGAAATTAAGTCATGCTAAAGATCTCGAAGGAACAGAATAAAACCCTTTCTCAAACGTTTTATCTTCTTCATGCCCCGAGAAACTGAGTTTGCACCATGCTCACCTTGGCCACTAAAAAATCCTTTCTCAGCTTTCTTCTCTTAATTGGCATGCACCCCCATGGGGTAGCAATTTTGGTTTCCACTTTGTGAAGTTTTAGTATGTGCCTTGCTACTCAAAGTTTGGTGTTAGCATCTCCTGGGAACTTAGAATCTCAAGCCCCATGCTCCAGCTGCTAAATCAGACTCTGGGTGTTAACAGGATTCCCGGATGACCTGTGTGGACTTGGGAGGTAGAGAAGCCCAGTTTATTGGCCATTAGTGCATCTAACCCTTATCTGAGTGTTTATGTAGTAGGTCTTAAAGAAGAAGGAAGCTATGTAGGGAGGCCAAGTGACCTGGGCGCTAGTTCACATCCAGAGGCAGGATGTGAACCCAGATCTATCTCATTCCACAGCTTAGCTCATTATCATAGCGTTTCACTGGCCTCACAGCTCTGGGTTACTCTGCAGAGGGTGTGTGTCCACCTGTGTGTACAGGGGTGTGTGTGTACCCCTGCAGGTGTGCACATGGAAAACATGATTTTGAGATCAGTGTTGACCTTTCTCACAAGGGAATTCCCTGTAAGAAGTGATTTACATAAATTACACTAAACAGAATTTATTTTCCCTTTCCAGTAGTTCTGGATTGAGGTAAAGTTGTTCACATGTTGGATTAAGAAGGCTCTTTGGGGTAGAGCCTATGTAATATAAATATGGGTAAATCCCAGTTGACCCCCTAGTGTGATTGTAACAATACTAGTTAGTAAATGAGCAGCAACTAACTGACCTTTTAAACCAGGAAAATAAGGAAAGTGACTCTGTCCTCCAATGTCAGAGAAATTTTATGGGATGGTATGAGCTCTGTCCTTTCTAGTCTCACAATTAATGATAACCAGATTAGAACCCTGTTACTCCAGGCGCTAGAGGGAAGAAAAAGTCTCTGGATTTGGCTCGGCCATTGCCAGTAACTCAGTGGGTGCCAGAGCAGCTGGGGAATGAATGAATGACCATGCACAGAAAATCTCAATTTAAACACTCAATCCCTTGCCGACCCTTCCCCACTTAGACACTGAGAACAGAGGATGATAGCATTTAAATGACCTTATTGACCTGATATTTCTTATACATAACCTTAAGCTAGAGACTGTGAAGACAATTTGAATTGTCTTCTTAGGCCCAAATACAGGGAGGATTCCTGCAGAGGCTTATACCCTACCGAGGAGGGAGAACGCTGACAGATTGCATCTCTGCTGTCAGAAAGAGTCCAAAACAACAATTCTCTCCCTTCTCATACACACATGCACGCACACACACACACATGCATGAATAATCTAGTATAATAATATGTACATAAGAGACGAGAACAGAGGGAGGGATATCTTCAGGATTCTTACTGACTTTTAAATCTTGAAATGCTCCTAAAAGAGGTAAGTAGATAAAAGCCCTTAATGCAGTACAACAGATGCTTATAATAAAGCTGACTCTGACTCTGCAGGGGAGAATGCAGTGTGATAATGAACTCCAGAGAGATTTGTCAGGAACTCCAGAGGGTTGTCAGAAATGCAGGTATCAACACCCAGAGCCCTCTCTGTGGCTCAAGGACAGGCGCTCTGAAGGATCTGGGACAAGGTGCAGAATGTCTGTTTCCTGATCACTTCATGTGGAAGCTGCCTGCTACAGTGGGAGAGATGCAGTCTCTTAGAGCTATTATCCCTTTATAATGTAAGCCAGACAAAGCCTGGGGACATTCTGTATTCACTCCAATACATGGATTCAATATAATAATAAGATATGACACCTTAGGGGTTACATGAAGAATCATCATAAATGATCCTCTTTAAAAATGTAATAGGATAATACCAAAGTTATGAGCCCCAAAAGGCAAATAAATGAGGTTTCTGGAGCTTTGTATAGATATACAGATGATAGACACACAGAGTATAGACATAGAGATACATGCTTTTATAGCATATGGGGATTTATATGTATATATAAAGAAAGCAGCTTAGCATTAAAATGATGTCTGTGGAAGAAAAGGAGGATTGAAAAGCCTGGGCGCCCTTTCAAGACTCCCCAGAAGACCCTTCTCCGCCCCTCAATGTCTGTTCAAGAGAGTGCAGATACTGAATAGATTGCTTGGAAGTACTGACTGCTGTTTTATAGGTGTGAGACAGGGATATCAGAAACCCAGGAGCTCTAGTCCATGGTGTGCGGAAGGTGAGGTTAGAACGGGTACCCAGTCTGGCAAGCACTGGATCAGACATACAGGCTGCTCACCTGAAGCCCAGCAAGGCCCCAGCCTCCCCTTTATGCCGGCAGGTAGACAACAGACAGGCAGAGTCGGGAAATTTAGAATTAATTTATTCTCACGTTAAAGTCAGTGAGGTTGATGCTGAGAAACAAACACTTGAATAGAAACTGACAGAAGGCATCGTTCCCTCTCCTCAGGGACATGGAAGTTTTAATTCCCATGAGCCTTAGAAATTCCTCCCAGCCTCTGACAGCCCAGGGTTCTCCTTCTGCCTTGTAGAGTCATTGCTAAAGGGGCATTACGAGGTGACTCATGAAGTACAACAGCTTGAGAGACGCACAAAGCTCTTCTCAGGATGGCCTTGAAGGGGAAGCCACCCTTCTCCGCCCCTCAATGTCTGTTCCTCAGCCCAGAAGGCAGCGCGGGCAGCCAGTTCTGTGCGCCCCGTGTCTCCCTTTAGCTTCCCATGCAAGCACGCATAACTGAGCTCAGGTACTCCCTCTTATGTAGTACTTGCCCAGCTCCTGGAAACGTTCTGGTCACCTCCAGCTGCTCAAGACCAAGCTGACAGCCATTCCTCAGGCCTAGCACAGATGTGGGTCTCTGACTGCCTGCAAAGTCCTCCAAGAAAAGGAGTGGTCTATCTGCCATCAAGAGAATACAGATACTGAATACATTGCTTGGAAGTACTGACTGCTGTTTTATAGGTGTGAGACAGGGATATCAGAAACCCAGGAGCTCTAGTCCATGGTGTGCGGAAGGTGAGGTTAGAACGGGTACCCAGTCTGGCAAGCACTGGATCAGACATCAGGAGCGGCTCCATATCACGCTGCTACCTTTCCCCTCCGCCAACACCAGTCACTGGTTCTCAGGCTCAGCTGCACACCAGAACCACTTGGGAAGCCTTAAAATATGCTGATCCCTGGACCCCACTCCAGAGACTCTGATTTAATTAGTCTGCTGTACATCCTGGGGAATCAGGATTTTTAACTCTGGTGGGCATCCAAGGTTGATGGGTCAGATGCGACGGCTGCCAGGTAGCTCACACTGTACAGCAAAGACAGAGAAACTAATGAAGCACAGCTTCCCCCCACTGGTTCACAGCCTCATGGGCCAGGAAGGCATGTGAATAAATTGCACCCCATGCTTTGCCCCGTGAGGATGGGGACTGCCTAAGGAGGGAAGGATGAACTATATCCTTTGTGGGAAGAGAGGTGGTCAAAGAAGGCTTCCTCAGGATGGTGAATTCTGCTAATTTTGTCCTTTGTTGTTATTAGAACATGGATGGGCTTATCCTTATTCTGAATCATTAGACCAGACCAGATACCTCTGAAAGGCAGAGTCAACAGGGGTGACAGAAAAAGCCTGGGGTCCTAGTGACAGGCACACCTGGGTCACCCAGCTCCCCTTGCACAGCAAGCATCAGGATTAGATGTGAGGTGGCCCAAATACCCAGTAAGTGACAGAGGCTATTGTCTTCAATACTTGTAAAAATAAACTGAACCCAAAAAAAAAAGGTCTATAGTGTCAATCCAAAGGACATTGTGAACCAATGACCTTTAAAAATTTTTTTTGCTCATATATCCCGAAAATAATTTTTTAAAAATCCTTAATACATTTACATTGAGATCTAACATTTTCCATTATGAGTTTAAATAGTGACAAAAAGTGAGAATTCCAGTGTATTGTAAACATGGATATTTAAAAATAATATTCTTAATATAACTCTTGTGACCGCATCCAGTAGAAACCAAATGCCATAGCTATTTCATACTCACCATCATCCATTGAAAAATACATGAAAAAGTATTTATTTTGAGTTGAGAATTTTATTTATTTATTCATGAACTCCTATTTCCATTCCTTCTCCCAAAGAGTCTCATACTAATGCATCTTCAAAATTTTGGTTTGAAAATATTTTATTGATTACTGTCTCATACATTTTCCATAATAAAAATGTGATAATAAATTTTAAAATTTCTAATTACTGAAACTTCAGAAATTTGAAATGAAATGACTTAAAGTGTTCTAAAAATATCTTCTATTTGAATTTATATTACAGTCATTACTAGTGCATATGTGATCATAAGAACATAAATATATTGGAAATTTCAATACCTAATTATTGCATATAAAAAATAAAAACTCTTAATAAAGCAGATAGCAGGGTTCTCTTCCCAACATATCTGTAGATAAATGCTACCTGTTACTAGAAGAGCCTAGCATCAATTCTAATCCAATCTTTTATTTTTGTCAGTGTAAGCACTAACAAAGCTTGTTCTTATAATTATTTATAATTATAATGGTAATGCAAAGAGTTTGACTAGCAGTATTGCTCAATTCTTTCAATTTTAAGTTATATGTCAGAAAAAATCACATAATGGTCTACCATCAGAATGTATTTTTAATGATCTACCAGCTAACATCAGCACTTCTTACAAGCTTTTTAAAGCAAAAAATTGACAGCTACCTGGCTTGCAAAAGGATGTTTTCTAGTGAATCGTTCACATTCAGAACTGTTCCTTAACTTTCTGCCACTGTGTTTCTACACTCTGGAGCAATGCACCATTGTGGTTAAGATTCAAGATGGGTGAAGGAGAAGCATGTTGTGAGAGGGCAGGTGTGAATGGAGAACAGGCTGTTCCATTACAGGTTTTCCCAGAAGATCAAGGCCACCAAATAATATATATGGAAGTAGAAGAACTGAATACTAATTTCCTTTTTTAGGAAAAGCCATGCTGTCATATCCCCAGTAGGGCTTTGCATGTCATGCACCCCTGTTTTAAGACCACTCTTTCAAAGAAGTCTTTATTAAATGTCTAGATGTTCTGAAATGCCACTTTTCTCTGAGTATAGTCTCCATTTCTTTATGGATCTGGTAATTTGTCCTTATCATTATTAATCTCTTGCTTCATCTCAATGTCCTCCTTAAGAGGGAGGGTAGAAATGGTGGTTGAAATGAATCTTCCATCTGGAGATTATTTGACCATAGTCCTTCCCTAAGAAGTTCAGGATGGCAAGCTCATTACCATTGGATACCAGGGGCTCTTTTGTCATATTTTAAAACTACTTTTTTCCAGTAGTAAGAAATATTGCCTTTACTAATGTCGTAATAGATCCCCTGAATTTTCCAGATTGGCATATCCCACCGGTCATTTTCCCATTCATTGCTAAACGGCCCCTTCACATAGTGCTCAGTGGATCCAATCTTGAGCTCTTCGAAGCGTTGGCATACTGATGTTTGCTGTGTACTCCACCTGCCTTCTCTTGCCTCTTGTATAATAGACTTCTCTCTGCCTAGTTCTATTTTAATCAGGAAGAACTGATGTTTAAATATATTGTTCTTAGGCTTGAAGTTTTCTCTTTAGTATGATAATTAGTTAGAGACTCTTTGGTGGCTAACTTCAAAGTACTGACACCCCCCTGGCTCACTATTCCTTTTCTAAGTGAAGTCTTTTCCCTACCACGCTACTCTTGAAACTCAGTTATGTAGCAGTGCATCATACAAACTTCAGATCCCCAAGAGTGGCTTAGAAGGTATAAAAGGAAAGTCATTAAGGCTTGCACACTGGTTCAGTGATTAGAAATGGATAGAATATTAGATCTCACCCTTCCTAAGCTCATCAAAAAAGAAAATAAAGTGTATGGAACCTCCTGGTTTCTCAGCTTTGACTTCTGAGCCACCTCTGAGGGAAGTTTTCCTCCAGACTTAACCAGAAAAAATCTCCTAAATTTCCCTCACAGATTCCCTCCCACACCTGCTTGCCCTTGTGTTGGTTAAGGAGGAATTGCTAGGACAAATTATTTCAATATTTCCAAGGACCAGAAGCATTTTTTCTCAGAGCTGTGGCTAATCCTTTATAAGCTGTTGTGATTTTCTATTTATCAGCATTAATACTTTCTCTAATACATTCTAGATGCAATGCACCACAAACCCATACCTACACAACAGTGAGGGAAAGGGAGCTGATAGTTTTCTGGAGAGTTTAGACTAATTTAAAAGAATTCTGACTTCCTTGCATCTTCTAACCCCTACCCAAATTTGGACAAATTGGCTGTGTTTTGGTGACGTTTTAGCAAAGCGATTACTGGCTGCTAATGAGCTCCAGGTCTATCAGGCAGTGGGTGGAACTTGGCTTTGCTACTTTGACTTCCATCAGCCCAGCCTGGTAAGCTTTGTGGGAAGGGCAGCAGGGCTGTGGGGGGCGGGGTGTTTGCTGACAGACAGCCAGGGACACTGAGCCACAATCTGAATTTCCTTTTCTCCTTGACTAACTGTACAAAAAACTGATAAATGTGGAAATTGCTCCAAGAACAAATCTCAGTTGTGTTTTTAATGGGAGAAAAACTAAAAGGTAGGTGGCATGAGAAGGACATGCCTCTGCCAAGAGCAATATTCCAGAGCCCCATTGGAACAGCACCCTGACAGCACAGAATTTGTGTGAGAAGAGTCTTATCTGTTATGTGGTCCAGGGGCCCAGTTACTAGAAAAGCCAGAAGGAAATCACATTTAATGCTAAGTATAATCATTAAATTATCACACTATCACACAATCCTCCCTGGTAAACACCTTAAGCCACTTTCTTAATCTGTCTGAGACTCAGTTTATTCATCTGTAAAATGGGTGTAATAACTAGGGGTAACTTCAAGGATTGTGTGGGTATTAAGTAAGCCTACTCATCACCCCGCACTGTGACCAACCAGCACAGTGCGCCAATTAACATTAACTCTTCTTCTCCCCATCCTGTTACCTACAGCATAGTAAAGTTGAAGTTAAGGTATAACATACGTGGATGAATTAATTAAGAAAGAAATTTCAATATGCATAAAAGGAAGCAATCCAAAGGACATATATGTGACTCTCACAGGTTTTTAACAAAAATTCTCTCTCCTTTGTATAGTCACATCTTAATGATTCAATTCATGGATTATCTACTTATTAAATGTTTGTTAACACACACTCTGTGGAAAGTATTATGCTAAAGATGGAGGCAAGGGGCCTTTTGGGACAGGGAAGCAGTGGAGATGTAAAGATATTAATACAAAAAAAACAGCATCCCTTTGAATTCAGGAGACAAGAGAAGACATACAATTTACTGCTGCTTGTATGAGATACAGTATTGGACACAATGAGAACTATAGATGGAACTAAACTCTGTCAATCAGGAGCCTTCCAAGCATCCCATTGCTTTTTTATTAAAAGCCTTTCAGACTTAGGCTTGTCTGGATTTGAACTCTGGCTCTAACTAGCAGCATGACCTTGGAAAAGTCACTTTATCTCCCAAGGCATTTCACCACCTATAAAATGGGAATAACAATCTCTCCTTATAAATATTTAAGAAGATAATATATATGAAGAATCCTAACACAGTCAACCACAGAGTTCCTACTTCATGATCACTTTTCAAAGGAGTCAGAAAACTGGGATAGGGGAGGTGGGGAAATTCCGGGGCCATTTTATTCCTTGGTATCAAATCTAGCAAAAAGCTAAGGGAAGCAGTTGCAGACTACAATGCCTGTACTGAACTTTGGGGTTACGTCATGACTTTCATCATCCCTGTTGCTTTCCCACTGTAACCGCAGTATCAAGAAGCACGGGTCTGCATCTGGCACAGCGATGTGTGCTATCCAGGATCACATCTTCCTTCCTCATCAGGTGAACAAATGAAGCAACCTCTTTTTATTTTTTAATTTCAGTGACAAAATGTTCCCAGCCTTCGGGTTCGGTGCCAGGATACCCCCAGAGTACACGGTGAGTGAGCGGTCCTTTGCTATGGCCAAAGGATGACCTGGGTCTCCTTCACAGGAGTCTCACTTTTTCAGCCCTGGATGTAATTATGTTAAGTGGAGTGCAGAGGCTCAGAATAGTCTTCAGAACCAGCGGAATTAGCTCCTCAGAGCTTGTCTTTTCATCAAACTTGATCTCCTGGTCTTCTGGATGGGTCTTCTCAGAGGTTCCAATGAACCGTTGCTTAGCTTCTTATAGGTATAGTCAGACCGTGAGAAAATGCGCAGGACGTTGATCTCCAGTGGCTCAGAACCAGATATCCAGCCCTCTCCTGAGGAAAGGGCCTGTGGACAATGCCAACAGTGAAAGTCCATGACAGTGATGTCTACAGCCCCTTCCTCCGCAGTCTGAGCACCACTCCTGTGTGTGACACAGACATGGAGACGTCCTGTGGAAAGAGCCACTCTGGCTGAGAGCAGTGGGAAGCTGAAAGGTTCCCTTGAAAGCACTGGAATCCTATTCAGTTCTGATGTCGTTCCTCATGCCACAAAGGAGGCAGACTGTATAGAGAGAGATTTGCCTGCTGCGCATGGCAGGGCTCTACTGTGGTATACCAGATGCTCCTGTGGACACTCTCCACAGACAACCCACTGCCCACGGGCAGCAGGGCCTCAGAGATGCAGCAGGGTTCCTGCCCCATTTACTGGTTCCTCCAAAGTCTGAGCTAAGTGCAAGCAACACTTTCCCACAGCTGAGTTCTCTTCTACAGGCTGAGTTTCAGGGCAGGGGGCAGGTGCCAGTATTTTCTCCTGCACCAGAGCTGTCATACCAAGGGGTTTCCCTGTCTGTGCCCTCACTGAAAGAGGGACCCCAACCTGCTGTGACTGCAGGGGTGAGGCATGCCTGCCTCCCTGGCCTGGCCTCCTATGTGCCTCGTATCCCACACTGGCCTCCCTGACAGGCATGGCTATGGAATTCCAGAAGCATTTGTTGCTAATAAAGCACACAGGGGGAGAGAATATGTGATAGGAGTTGTTGACTGGTGGCCTATATGCATTATTCAGGCCACAGATGTATTATATTTGACATGGGCAAAAATTTTTTTAAGAATTAGGCAATTTCAAATAAAATGTCAGATTTCCGGCTCTATGGAAAAACTTAAAGGCCTGGCAACACTAAGATTAAGAAATTATACAGGCAAGAGTCACCAGAGCTGAGGAGATGCGGTCCCCTTCAGGTGCTCAGAATGTGGGCAGGTGGGTATGGGTGCCCACCCTCCTCACAGAGCTGCTGAGCCTTGGGACTGGGATGCCCCACAGCAGCCCAGCCCCCCAGGGACGCTCTCCACTACATCCCGCTGGCCGTCTGGCCTTAGCTTGGCCCAGCAGGGTGAACAGAGTTTGCAGTACCCTTGTACCAGGCCTTTCTTTTCTTATCCATGGCATCTGCCTGTTCCTCCTCCTGGAGTAAGTCCCCTTCCTGCTCTTCTCTGAAGTCCCTGTGCTCACTGACCCTCTGCTCCACCGGCCTGTCGGCCAGCTTCTTCTGCTTGTCCTCACAGCCCCCCACCCATCACTTCACCTCTGCTTTCAGAACCACTCAGATACCGTCTCATGCCCATTTCCCCTCTGCCCTAGACAGGACTGATGGTCCCAGCGGCTCAGGTGCCCCAGCGAGTTCACAAGGTCACCACAGGTGCCTTCTTCAAGCGTGATATCTCAGTTCCTACCCTGAAACAGAGCCCCGAGTACCTGTGTGATGGTTTGCACTCTCCCGGGAATAGTCCTTAGTCAAGAGTTTGGGTGAAAGTCACATGTGTGAGAGGGGAAGGAGGCCTTGCCAGAGAGTGGGGCATGGGGGCCCCTACCATCCAGTTCCCAGCGTCAGCAGCTGGGGCCTCTCACCCTGCAGGGAGCCCAGCGGGACTGCTCCAGCACAAGAGGGCTGGGTACTGATCCACAGTGTCCCGTCAGTGCCGATGAAAGGCCCCTCCGAGGAGATATTGATTCCCAAACACTTCTAGTCTGTCACTTGGGCAGGCAAAACAGGCTCTACAGGCCAAAGACAAAGCTTGAGGGACATGAAGCAGGAAGTCAGCTGACCCACCTGGAAGTGCTAAGGGCACAGGAATGTGGGCCAAGCACCACTCATCATTTCTGACCCTCATCAAGAAAAGAGGGGTCTTGTAAAACAATGACTTATTTCCTAACCCAAAAGAGAGTCAATATTTTGAAATAGACTTTAAAATGAAATCTCTGTAAAATTCCAAATGATACAGTAAAAATGTCCAGTTGCCAGACATCCCTTTTGCTTTATCAGGTTTTAGAAAGAAAAAAGTAAATGTGTTACCTATAGGTCCTGCCAGGAACAGGGATTTGTTTTGGAAGATGTCAAGGTTTATTACTTTACTAGTTTCCCAGGCTGAGTCTGCCTTATCTGCATGTGCGTAAGACCCCACCTGGCCTTTGGCTCTGCCCTGCCTGTGAGGCTGATTCAAGCTTAGCTGGAGCCAGTTCCCATTGCCACGTTGAGCAGACAGCTCAGGTTATTGAGTTCTCTCTCTCTCTCTTTTTTTTCCCACTGGTCCAAATAGAGTTCAGCCAAATCTAAGCCTCCAGTCTGTGGCCAGTTCTACCTGGAAGCTATTTGGAGTTAACATCTTTCTGAAATCTTTTCTTGGATTTCTTTTATATACCTTATTCTCTCCTCCTGCCAGCATTTATCTGATTCTAGAAAATCTTCCTGTCACCTCATCTCCACAGGGAGCTTAGAATCCACCCTCCATCTCAGACTGATTGTGTAGAGGCTTAAAATAGTTCCTGCTGCTTCACACATAATGAATGTAATGGGCATTTGTTTGCAAACTCTAAACCCCAGTGCCTCCTTATGGGATTAAAGCTATAATTCTCTTTTCTCCCTTTTTAAAATTTTAACTGGTGTCTAGGTCTCTCATGACTTCGCAATCAACTTTAATGAAGACAACCCAGAATGTGCAGGTAAATCACAACGTGAAAAAAGCCAGCCTCTCACAGCTTCAACTTACCTGATGGCTTGGTCTCTCTCTGCTGCAGTGTATCAGTTATGATTGTCCATGGTAGAGAAGTAGGCTTTCCGGACCCAAATAAACCATGCTCCTCCGAAGGCAACAGAGGGCCATATAACAGGGCAGAAGAGTGCGAGCTGGAAAATACAGACTACAGAGGCAGTCTTGGGCTCACGGCGAGAATATTGATGGCAGTGCTGGAGTTCTCCGGCCAAAAACGTGGGTGGGGCAAACTCACTGATGGCCAGTGACAGGGGCTGCTCTTTCTGCTCTGCAGGCTTTCACCAGGGATTCGCTGGTTACAGCTCCTTCCCTGTGAGGGCCTGAGGAGAGGGGAAGTTTTCACATTTACAGCATGTTGGCAAACGATGTGTTTGCAGTGACGTCAAATGAGTGGCTTCATGGTTTTGTGCCAGAAAGAACCTTCTCAAAGGCTTTAGTCCCTGTTCTGTTATTTCCAGCTAGAAGTTCCCCAACACAAATCCACAAAAGAATAATGATGAAATAAAACTATGATGATAAATTTTATTCTAGAATTATTTTCCCTGTTTTCTAAGTAACAAAACAGAGCCAACTATATTTATTACTCTGAAGATTATAACACATTTTTACAGTGGAGTAGGTAGAGATGTTCATCTCTCTCTCTCCTCATCAAGATGGAAGGGGCTGAACTAGGGTTAATTCAGATCCATAGGGTATGTAGAGCATCTAGTAGTTTCTTTCATGAATTTGGCACTTACTGTCCAAGAATATGATAAAATAATCTCTGAAACTCGATCTCCACTTTGCCTTTATTCCCTCTCATGATCCCTCACCCCATGTTTATTATGATGTGGACTTTTCTCATTCCTAATCATCCCCATTCTTGAACTATAAGGTTTGCCACCAAAACAAAATTCATTTGCCTGGTACTTTGGAAACAGATATCAGATTTGCTTATCTTAGGCAAAACCTCAAGAACCAAAAATGATGAGGAGCTTCTGTTCAGCATGACTTCACTTCAGGCCAGGCTACCTGACTGTTTGGCACCTGCCTTCAGAATGGCAGACTCTGACGTGACCAAAGAGGGCGCAGCATCAGTGGAGTTGGAAACATGTGTATAAAAGCTGAACAGACAGAGCTTGCTCACCCAAAATTCCCAAGAGCTGGTCTGCAGCACTGGTGGGTGTGGAAAGCAACCCAGGGGGACTTGTGTGGGTCCCCCTGGCCCAAGACAGGCCCAGTGTGCTGTTGCTGTGTAGGAAGGCTAAGAGGATGGGCTGACACAGAAGAAGGCCACAAGGAACATAGGCACAGACCTGAAAAGGAGCCATTTGAACAAAAATCATCAGTGATTGGACTGTCACTGTGAGATCACAATTCTAGCAGTGAATGTATGATCCAGACTCATGAAACACGGGGAGAAATCCCACAAGCAGACTGCCCCTTCCAGCAGAGTCCCACACTTCACTATTTCCCTGGCTCATGTGGCTTAGGATGGAAGCCCCCTTTAACTGAGGGGGTGGCTATGATGATGAAAATCACTCCCTCATCCATTTTGCTCGTTCCTCAAACACCTGGTGAGCAGCTACCATGCATCCCACCTGCCTTGCTATCTTTGAGTCAGTAAGTCACGATTCCTACCCACAAGGACCTCAACATCTGGAGAGGTGGTCACCTGTACACGTGACTCCCTCAGGTAGTCGGGGTGGTTTGCTGGAGCAGAGGGTGAATGCCAGAGGAGCATGAGAGGTGACCTGCCTGGTGGCTAGGGGTGCAGCCCTCAGTGCCAGACCTGGGTTTGGATCCTGAGTCTCCAACTCACTGGCTGTGTGACCTGGGCAGACCATTTAACCTCTCTAAGCCTCATAATTTCTTCACCTATAAAATGGTGATAAAATCTATTTCCTTGTGCTGTGAAGATCTAATGAAATCTTATGTGTAAAGTGGGGTATTAGGGAAAAGTCTGCAGAAATGGTCGCTATTGACTTGAATCTTTAAAGAGAATACTTCTGTGGGAGTGTAGGCAGCGATACCAGCAATGTGGTATTTTATTTTTCATCTGAAGGACATAAATGTAATGTTGATAAGGACTATTTGGGGGAATTTAATGCTTTATTTTGTGTGTGTTTAGTTACAAATATTTGAGGGGACTACTTTGCCAATTCCTTAGGAATTCAGGGAGTCGTGGAAGCCTACCAGAGCTGCCTTCCCAAGCTCCAACTCTACGGCCCCACTAACATCGCCCCTATCATCCAGAAGGTCGCCAGGTCAGCGTCCGAGGAGACCAACACCCAGGAGGCGTCGGTAAGCCAGAGCGGCTGCCTGCTCCCGGGTGCGCTCGCCTGGGCATCGGGCAAAGCCACCAGCTGGCTCCCACGGTGCACTCAAGCACCTGTGCCCGTGGGAGTCCGCGCAGTGCCAGCCTTCCCTAGCCTCATCCTCCTCACCTGAAAACGGGGCTAATCACGCCCAACTCCCCTGGGTCACAGTGAAGCTTAGAGATGACACTTCTCAGGTGTCTGCAGCACTGCCTGGACACAGGAGACCCGCAACCATGCACACGCTCTGTATTTGCTGGAATATAGGTTATACCCACCTTGTGTTCCTAGGAAAACAACACTGTCCAAAAATACGCTTGCCTGCCAAGGTGCCCCTGCCACAGATGGAAGCGCAGGAACCAGAAGCACAGCCGCGGTGGGTCTGTGCTGTGGCGGTGAGGTGCGGTACAGACATCACAGCGAAAGTATTCTCCCACTCTGGTCATGGTTTTCATAAGAAAATGCAAACCAAAGCTACATGGCCAGAGTGTTTTCCTCCCTAACATATGAGCATTACATACATTACCATCATAACTTTGTGTCATATTTTTTATTTCTTTTTTAACTTTATGACTTTTTTTCAGATGCAGAATATCACTGATGTCTGAAATTTTCCTTAATTTTATCCTGGGTTCCAAGATATTTTCTTGTATAAAAAAATAACGTACTACTCCCTGGTCTTCTCACACGAGCTCATCTCACCCACCCGTACTGTGCACATCCTCAGCATCCTCCATGTCAGGAGCATGGAGGACTGACTGCACTGGACGTTGCCCCTCCCGTGTGCTGGGCACAGTCTCCTCCCCATGATCCAGACACTGGCCTGGCAGGCTCAGTCCTTTCCTCTCCTTGTCACCTGTGTTGCCCTTGCTACTGAAGACTCATTCCCATTACGGAATAAAACACACTCTGGTATCTCCTGTTTAAGTCCAAATATCTCCCTTGACACCTTTTACCCTTTAGCTACTGTCCCTTATTACTCTCTCCTTCACAGCGAAATCCACTGAACCTCTGCCTGAACTCACTGCCTCCATGTCTCCTTCCTGCTACCCCCAACCCAGTCAGACTTTTTTCTGAAAACCACATTCATCAAAGTCTACAGCCCCATCTTGCCAAAACCACAGAAACCATGTGCACCCAGGGGAACAGATCTGAATCCTCTCAGGTCAATATTCAGGAATAATGGTTGGGCAATATCAGTATTTCATTTAATTCCTTAACATTGTTTGATCACCAGGACTTCAAATTCAAATTCTTAACATGATACCTTGCTCAGAAACCCAACATATAAAGCAGACTTCAATAAAACAGACTGCTCCTGGGTTAAAGGGCGGTATCCAAACCTGCCTGTTCTCCTTTACACACCTTAAACCACAGGAGCACACAGGGCTCACCAGAGCCCCTTTTAAAAGTAAAATGACCTCAGTCCCCCTAGGTACCAGGACCCACAACAGTAAAAACAGAACAGGGCTGGCAGAGGTGTGGATTTGATGGACATAAGCCAGCATGCATCTGTGGCCAGCACTCTCCCTCGCAAACAAGTGGGTCTACTCTCAAAGGACAGGTCAGGAAATCTCGAATCTGCACAAATTGCCCCTGCAGGCTAGAAACACTGACAATTTTCTCCAGGGGCTTTTCCTGTTCTTTGAACAGCCTGTGGTCCAGGACCCCTGTTATACTGATTGCAAAGTGTCCTAACCTTAACCTCTTAGGCAAGCTGTGCTGGAGGACTTCTCCTTGATTTTGTGGAACTCTTCTAGAAAGAAAAAACTCCCCTTCTTGTCTAAATAGGACCTCAAGTACATTCAAAGGTTACCATATTTCATCTGTGAGCCTTTTCCTAGCCTGATTTTGGAAGCAACTGTCCGTGCTGGCTTTATTGGAAATTTCCATCAGAGTTTCAGTCCCGCCACTGGCAGTGTACTACGTTTCACTGGTTTAAACCTGGAAGGATCATATGCTAGGGTCCTGGCCATCTCTTCAGGCCTGGTGTTCTTAGCCTTTTTTGTTCTGTAGAAGCTAGTGAAGCCCACGGAACCCTTCTCAGAAGTGTTTTTAAATGCACAAAATAAAACATGTAAAGCAATTATATTGAAATGCAGTTAGAAAAATAATTTTAAATATGACAAACATAATATAGTAATAAAGCATTTCTTTTATTAACGTTAAATTATGAGAACCAGTAGCTAGCCTTATAATGCTTTAATTTCTAAGTAGTGTTGAATATAAGTAATTTATTGAGATATTTGCAGCCACTGTAATATAGCAGGAACACATTCTTTGATTTCTGTTGATGACTAAGTCAACATTTTATTTTATTATAATTGAAAGAAAAAGATAAATTTCAATTGGAGATTAGTGAAAATAAAAAGGTAATTACCTCTGACTGGAATCTGCTAATAGTCCACATGCCTAGGTTAAAATGCCCTGCTCTACACTAAAAGTCAATGAGCTATGGCCTGCATCCTGTTTTTCAGTGGCTTTAAATAGTTGAAAAAAAACCAAAAGAATTATATTTCATGGCACGTGAATATTATACGACTTCCAAACCTGTGTCCTTCAATAAAGTTTTATTGGGTCACAGCCATGCCCAATCATATTAAATATTGCCTACGCTGTTTGCACTGTGCTGGCAGGTTTAGGCAACAGAGACTGCTATAGCCTACAAAGCCTAAAATATTTATTACTGTCCCTTTACAGAAGATATTTTCCATTTACAGAAGACTATTACAGCTCTAAAGTTTCTTGATGTAGTAGTGGTATTCTCAGGTTTCTTGTCCTGGAAGCATTGAGCAAGCAGGGGGATCCAGCCCCTGGACTATAAAGATCAGAGCAAGCAGGACCTAGGGGAGGGTGAAAAATGGGAAGGACGGCAGATACGAGTCATTCAAGGGCCCACCTGCTCATGAATCGGAAGCAGACTCCTTCAGGAGTGGCATCTGCCATGATTCCCCAGGTGTGCCCTGGGAGGGTGACTCAGGATTCTGATTCATTCCATCCCCTCCCCTCTCTCCCCAAAGCACCGAGTCACCTCCTTCTGCCCCTTCTCTCTGTGCCCGCCTAGTGCCACCATCGCTTCATCCTGCTGAAACTATTCTTCAGACTTCCATGTCACCTCTCTGTGAATGTTAAGACTCGAAAAGCATAGATACGGATGAAAATATACAACCTGAATAAAGTTTAAAATTGGTTGGTTCAATAGAAGTAGGGGTGGGGAGTTTGTTAATAAACATAGAACAGAATTAGTCTTTACATTAAACTGTATGGAGAGCATTCAGAACATGTGGCTATCTTCATCACAGTGTGAATTTCTGTTCTCCCCAGTTGTCTTTTTGACCAAGTTACTTTGTTTAAAAACATTTCTTTCAGACTTCAGAAAAAAGTGGGGACTCTAACACTGCCAGCCTGTATGTGACCTCTTAAGTATGATTCTAAAAACCAGGTGTTTTCAAGATGTGCCTATTCTATCTAGCCTATTTTCTTTGAACTATGACACTTTGGATGTTTAATTACCCCACATTTATTCCCTGTAGATGCTGCACACATTGCAAAGATTATGAGAAGTTCTTTTGAGTTTGGCATGAGTGGCATCTCCACGGCCTGCTTCCCTCCCTTCTCGCTAGTGGAGAGTGTCATGGTGTCACCCACAGCTAACTAACAAGCAGGGATGACCTCCAATGGGCCTCCACCTTCAGACCCCCTCACTGCCCAACCCTCCCAGTGCAGATGAGCACAGAGCCTTTCCTCCAGTCTCTATCTTGGATGAGCCACCTGCCAGCCTGTCTAGCTGGAAAGGAGCTGGCCGGCCAGGCTGCAGGCTGGCACCGAGCTGAGAGCAGGAGAGCAGGGAGCTGCAGGAGCACAGCAGCCTCTGTGCCACACACTTGGCAAGGGCAGCCACCCCCAAGGGCTTTAGACTAGCTGTCCACTAGACGCAGACTGGGAGTTGTGGATGCAGCTTTAAAGTCTCTGGTAACCAAAATTTTACAAGTTAAAAGACAGGGAAATTGATCTTAATATATTTTATCTAACCCAATATAATCAAAATATTCTCATCTTAACATGTAAAATATCTATATGGAAATGATTAATAAAATATTTTACATTCTTTCTTTTAGAACTCAGTCTTCAAATCTGGTGTGTAGTTTATACTTACATCACCTTAATTTGCATGGTGTTATTATCACAAATACTTGATGTTTACTTAGATTTTTATTAGTCAATAGTTGAGAACGTAGAGTCATATACTTGCATTATTCCAAACATACCTAAAAGTTTTCCATTAACTGAACTAGGTCTCCATTTTTAAAGCTAAATTCATTAAAGTGAAATAAAATTAAATTGCTGTAGCCACATTTCAAAGCCCCAGTAGTCATATGGAGCTGATTAGTGGCTATTGTGCTGGGCAGCACAGCTTTAGGATCTTAAATGTCTCCAAGCCGAAGGGGACCATGTAGATGATCCTGCCCCCCTCCTTGATTAAGGGGTGAAGAGGCTGAGGCCCAGAGGAGTTAGGGTTTCCCCAGGGTCTCAGAGAGGGATGTTTCGAACCAGTGCTCCTGACTCCTCTCTGTTGCTCCATCTCCCACACTGCACCTTGTAACCATCACTGAGTGATTATTAGAACTAAACTACAGTTGCTGGGCCTGCTTTTCAGCTGCATTCCTCATAACCTGAAGTCTTTGGGGGTAACACAGGCCCTCTATGAGGCTCTGCTGTCACTTCCACAGTCAGCATGCAGAGGCCACCAGGTAACTGGCACTGTCCTTGTCTCCCACCTCTCTGCCCCCACCCTCACCTGGCTTCCAACCAATCCAGCAATACTTCATCCTGCTGATCCTCACCGATGGCGTCATCACGGACATGGCCGACACCCGGGAGGCCATTGTCCACGCTTCCCACCTGCCCATGTCAGTCATCATCGTGGGGGTGGGCAATGCTGACTTCAGTGACATGCAGATGCTGGATGGTGACGACGGGATTCTGAGGTCCCCCAAGGGAGAGCCTGTCCTTCGAGACATCGTCCAGTTCGTGCCCTTCAGGAACTTCAAACACGTATGCATACCCTGGGGGCTTCCCATGAAAGAGCAGAACCAAAACCAGCTGCCCCCCATGTTCCTGTGAGTGTTGGCAGTGAAGCAATGCCCTGCCGGTGACCAGGCCAGGCCATGCCCCACAGGATATGCAGAGCTTGACTTTCTGGAGAAAGGAGCATACATACCTGGAGTAGAGGGGAGTCCTGCTAGCTGTGTAGCCAGCACACTGCCCTTGCTCTCATCCATGTAATTCAGGCTCTCTGCAGTGCCCAGGGCTACTAACAGTGGTGCCTGGCTGAAGTAGCACAGAGAAGCTGAAACTTCTCCGCGTTCTCCTTGTCAAATCCTGTGCCCTGGCAGAGGCCTGTGTTTGCCTTAGCAAAGTCTGTTTTCAAAATGATGGAACCCTAAGTCCCCTATAAATATACGGTAGTCAGCATCAAAGATTTACTCACCTCATTAATGAGGGTCCCAGCAAGGTAACAAGGGCAGCTCAAAGGAAGGCATCAATCAGTGAGTCGGGGCCTGGGAGATGAGGGCAGGGGAAGGGTGCAGTGCATGTTGTGCTAAGTTTTCTACAGCAGGTTCAAAACTGGTTAGTGACCAAAGGAGGTCTTCAGAGTCAGTGCAGTTCCCTCCTCTCCTTGCTATGGGGACCCCTCTGTCACCTGGATCATTACTGCAGAGAAGTCTGTGTCCCCACATCTCTATGGTCCCTGCTGAAAGTGTCTTCTCAGCTTCCCAACTGCCTCTCAGTCGCTGGGCTGAAGTCAGGTATTCAGGGTCAGGGCGAAGAAGGCACAGACACTCTGCCGCCCACCCCAAGCTCTCCCTCCTGAACCTACTTTGGAAAAGCCTCTCTCCTGGGACCAAAACCTCTTCAGTGAACCCCCGACACTCCTCTAGCCAGTTAATAGATATGTCCAGGAACATTTGAACCGCTGTTTGGGCTCCCACTGGACACCCCCACTTTTCCAGGTAAAATAGGAATAGGGGTCAGAGGACACACAGGTGGCTGTGCACCATTGACAAGGCCCTGGGCCAGCACCAGAGACGCCAGCATATTTTCTTCGTAAGCTGCTGATCATGCTGCCACCTTCTTGGGCAGGCCTCCACGGGAGTATCCAGATGAGTCCTGAGCCCAGCAGCCTCTGTGGAACCTCAGATCTCAGGCCTGGCGGGACCACTTAGGGAGGTCACTGCACATGCCAGGGCTCCCTCAACAGGGAGATATGCCCCATCACTGTACCCCACATAGAGCCGCTCTCCTTCTAAGGAGATCCACAGTAGAATTGGAATCATTAGGAACCTAAGCTCCAGCCCTGGCTACACAGCTGAGGGAGCTCCAGGCAGCAACAGTGATAGCCAAGCCCCCAGCAAGCACTCGGTGAGCATGGTGGGAAGGACAGTGATGTAGCCCCTCTTCCACTTGCCCAAGGAAGAGGTTTCCACATGCACCCGTGCATCACATGAAAGAGGCTCTCCACACCTCAGGTGGTCTGCGTGTGCACGGAAAGGAGCCACATTCTCTCTGTGGAGCCGTGTACTGGAGCCAGCTGAGCTCCAGTGGCTGTGGTGAGAGAAGCTGCTCACTTGCATGATACCTGAGGTGGGCAGAGGGCTGTTCTCCCAGATTCGGGGCCCTGCCCATTTGCCAACCACATCACTGACCAGCACCTGTAACTGCCTTGGTGAGGGGGCCCAAGATCACTTTCTGCCATGCACTCGCCCAGCAAACCACCCCTCCCTGCCCCTACACACAAGCATATCTGTTTGCCTCCCTGGTGCTACTGAGCCTACACGGTTCCATCAGGACCCTAGCCTCCTCCTCTTCCACAAGTGCTCAGGGAGTGCCTGCGGTGTGCAAGGCTTGTGCTAGCCCTGGGGCTGCAGGGGATGATAAAGCCAGGGGTCCAGCCTCAAGGAATTTACTGGAGAATTGCACAGTTGGGACATAGGTGTAAGCAAAAAACTGCCAGGCTAAGCAACCTGAGAATAGTTTACAAGGCCTTAACATGTTGCTTTAGAGCAGACAGAAGTGGCCACAAGGACAGCCTCACCACCTGGGCTGGAGACACGAGGAACGCAGGTCCATTGCAAGCAGGGAGCTGAGGGTGTCACAGGGAGTGCCAGCCTGGCCCAGGCAGGGCAGGGCCTCACTCTCTTCCCCATCTCCAGCCACCCTGGGCATGACGACAACAGTGCCAGGAGTGTATCCCCCTCCTTTTCTTCACGGATTTCAAATTAGATTGTGAAAGCCATTTCATCATCCAAACTAATTTAGTCTGAATTCAATAAGCTGCAAATAAAATGGAAGGTGAGGAGCTGATACCATTTCCTATAAGCCAGTAACCCATGAATTGCCTCTTTGCAGGGTAACTCAGAGCTTTGGCATGGACAGGGCACACATAGACAGGGCACGCATGGGCAGAGTGCTGGCTTAGAGCTACACAGCTCTGGGGAAGTTATTTAACCTCTCTGTGCCACAGACATTCATCTGTAAAATGAAGCAAGTGACACATGCCCTGGAGATTAAAGGTGGTGTCTATATGAAGCTTAGCACAGTGTCTGGTCTCTGCAGGTCATTAGCAAGTAAGAACAGCTGGGATTAATGGTTGCTTTCACCTTCAGGGCCTCTGCCCCATGCCCTATTTGCTCACCAGAGCCAGCAGAACAGATATGCAAAGGGCGGAGAAACTATTTATATTTAAATTCATGAAAATGAAATAAAATTTAAAATTAGCTTTTCGGCCACACTAGCCACATTTCCAGGGCCCAGTAACTGTATATATCTAGTGACTACCATATTGGACAGTGTAGACACAGAATGATGTCCTCATTGCAGCAAATTCTAGTTCAAAGCACTGTTTAGGAATATTTTTGTCTTCAGATAACAGCAAATTCATTTTACAGTGGATTATCTGAATGGGTCTTAACCAAGGGTGGCTGTGCTCCCCAGGGAACATGGCAGCTCCCAGAGACATTTGTGAGGATGATACTGGGTGCCACTCACATCCAGTGGGTAGGAGCCAAGGATCTGGTAAACACCCTACAGTGTCCAGGACAGTCCCCACATGGGAGTCATCTGGCCCAAATGGCCATAGCACCAGAGTTGAGGAACCCTAGATTATATAAATACAAATATATCTTTGTCATTCAACTAGAAGTTAGAGTGGTTCACTAGTATCAGGGGCAGCATTTGGTGATTCCCTCTGCTGTTTTCTCATAGTGATAGAATGGTTGTCATAGCTCCAGGAATCACATTCTAGTTTAAGGAAAGAGGGAAAAGGAAAGGGAACCAGAGCCAACTAGGAAAGAAAAGTTTTCCAAGAATGCACCTCAGGAAACTTGCATGCATGTCTCAAAGGATGAAGAGGGTCACATGGCCATCCCTAGCTGCAAGGGAGGCTAAGAAATCAAGCATTTGGCTATCTAGCATCTATATGAGAGATGACCAGAGAGAAAAGGTGGGAATGACTTCTGTTTACCTGCCCCAGTGTACGCATGGGCCATCATGTAACACACAGCCCTGAGCAAAAGAGCATTCATAGATGCCAAATGTCCAATATGCTGTGACAGCCTCAAAATGTGAGGGGTCACTTTAAAAAAACTCCTGAGTGTTTTCAGATTGTTTTTAAGGTATATGTCTCTTATTTTAAGCCTCCTAAAAACTCTGAGATAGCATGAATTCTTATTTTTTCCAACTTTGTCTCTGAGAACACAGGGGCTAAGCAAAGTCAAATGGCTGAGTGGCAATCACAGAGGAGGGAACTGGAAATGGGGCCATCTGGCATTTGGTCCACACGTCCTTCCAGTCCCCTATCCTTCCTGGGAACTTCTGCACTTATTAACTGGTTGCTCTGCTTCAGGTTTTCACTCTTCAGTAATAGCTAATAATGAGGCTCAGGCAATTTTACTCGTCGAGGGGTTGGGCTGATAGTCCTGAATGTGAAAGCTTCTGCCTTCCTCTCCTAAGACCCAGAGTCCATGCAGAGTATCTGCTTCTGACCATATGGTGGGAGCATAATGCTGGTAGAATATCCAACACCTAGCCTCGAGCTTATTTTCCAACTGAATACCCTGCCAATCTTGCATCCCCAGTGTATATGTGTGTGTGGCACACACACACACACACACACACACACACACACTCACATACTTCCTTCAGCCCCATCAGATGACTCACTGCCCCTAGAATGATTAAATGCCATTCCCTCCTTCTCTGCATTTTAAAGCATGTCAAATTTAAGTGCCACTTCCTCTTGGAAGCCCACTGTGATTTCCTCCAAGATGACTTAGTCTCTTTGTTTCTGTGCTCTGGTCATGCAGTGTTTGTGACTCCCTGGAGCAGTGGTTTTCAAATGTCAATATGTATAGGGCCCCCGATGTCAAGTTAAAGTGCAGATTCTGACTGAGTATCTCTGGGTTGGGTCTGACAGTCTGCATTTCCAGTGAACTCTGATACAGTGCTGCTGGTCTGTAGTGAGTGTGGTGCTCTGCCTCACCGTACAGTTAGTCTGGGCCACTCCAGCTCCCCACAAGAACCATAAATCTCATAAACCCTGGCATAGTGCCTGGGATACAATTAAGTGTCTGGAAATGAATGAAAACCAGAAACAAAACTTCCTGACAATTCATTCTGCTACCCGACTCTCACCTGTCTTCAGATTTGAGTAGGTTTATATTTTGAGACCGGCATGAAAAAATGGAGTTTTGAATTAAAGGTTCATTTTCCTAACAATCTGACAACTCCTGTTTAGAGTAGACCCTGGACCAATGTTGAATGAATGTGTGAATGAGAGACTAGCTGCTCGGAGCAGGACTGGAGTCCTTCAGGCTGAGTTGGAATCAGACTCCTTTGGCCACGTGCCGAAGTCATGTTGCTTTCTTCTTCCCTGCAGGCATCCCCAGCTGCCCTGGCAAAGAGCGTGTTGGCCGAAGTCCCAAACCAAGTCGTGGACTATTACAACGGCAAAGGGATTAAGCCAAAATGTTCATCAGAAATGTACGAGTCTTCCAGGACACTGGCGCCATGAACTGCACAAACTTTTACAGAGTTCTGACATACTATTCCTTCTAATATTTAATACTTCTAATACTCCTGTACTCCACACATACACATTTAAAAATAGCACGTTTCAGTGATTTTTAACTAACTGAAAATTTTTTTGCATGTGTAGCCCTGAGGCCTGGATCTATTAAGCCCTAGTATTGTTAGACTTTTTACTAAAAAAAAAAACTACAAATAATTATAATTTACTCTTTACACTACAGCATGTCACCTTGAAATAAAATGGTATCTGTATCCATTTTTTATACAGGTTTGTTGAAATTTTGCTAAATTTCTTATTATCTTTACACTGTAAAGCATTTTGAAACATTTACTGAATGTTGATAGCCAAAATATATTTGGTTTTATCTGCTACAAGATGAGAGCCTTTTCAAAATGGCAGGTGCATGGACTGTATTTTGCATGTTTAAAATAAAAAAAAGAAGCACACTCTTTCTGCAGTTGTTATCTCTAATTCCTCCCTGCTGAGAATGATCTCTTTACTGAAGAAGAGGTTTATCCACCTAGAGGTGTTCTTGAAATGGGTCTGGGGTACATGGCCCAGCACCTCTCAGACTTTACTGAGCACACGGATACCCTGAGGGTCTCACTAGCATTCAGACTCTGCTACAGTAGGTCTGCGTGGGCCCAAGGCTCTGCATCCCTAACAGGGTCCTGGTGATGCCATGAGGTGCACAGAGAGCACTGGGGTTCCAGGCTTTTGGGTGTGACCCTAGAGAGCATCTGGAACAAGGCAGCCCCTCATCTGCTAGAGTAGCCCATCTCCCTGGCTGTAGCACAAAGGTCCTGCCCAGCTCCAAAGTGGGAGCAGAAGGTAATGAGACTGGCTCCAGAAGCTGCACACCCAGTCAGTCTCACTGCCTTGTAGTCCCACCTCTTCCTGAGGCAGACTGGGTGGGCCCCTTCCAGCCTCTGCCCTCCTGAAGGAGGTAGCACACCCATGGCACGGCTGCCTCCATTTGCCCATCAATCCCTTGGAACGACCTCTGTCTTCAGTGGAACCACACAGTGGAAACTTGCCCACGGCGAATGGCCATGCAGTATGGCTCCCAGATACCTGGCTAACCAAGCTGGTCTGTAAACTTAGTGCGGGGCTTCTTTTTGCCCCTCTTCGTCACTCCTGAGAGCAAACTCTATCAGCAGAAATGCCTGGAAAAGTTGCTCTGGGTGGAGGTGTTTTGCTTTGATATAAACTGGTCAGTCTTAAACCAGAAGAACGAACGTCTCACTTGTATAATCTTTGTGTGAAAAATGGACAAATGTTTAACAGGCACAGAAGGCACAGGGTGGACCTTATTTGGGGTCAGAGAGATGGAGAGGTAAATCACAAAGCAGAATAGATCTGTTTGTTGTTTGTTGCTTGTTGAGGGGGGAAGTATTAATAAGCAAATCAAATGCCTTCTATGACTTCCAGTGTTACAATTATAGATCCTAACCTTGCAAATACATGTCAGCCAAATGCACATTTTGAGAATGAAGGCAAAATGTATGACTGAAAAATACCATAAACATTTAAACTGTATTGTTTTATGAATAAATTGGGTACTTACAGAACTTTTTCTAAGAGTTATAGTCTTGTTTCTCTTTTCAATTTTTCAACAGTGATTTATTCATTAGATGACATGGCCTCAGATTGGGGCTGCTTTTTCATAGCGCCATAGAAACATATGGAGCATTGTTTTTAACGAACCAGGAATTAAAATATTTAAGCCCTATCATACAGAATTACCGGGTAGTTGTTTCTAACCCCAAACAAGGACATGAGATTCCAGGTCTATGTGCCTGGAACATAATAAGCACTCAATGGTATTTAATGAATACATAGATGGATAATCAAATGAATGAATGAATGAATGAAAAAATAGACTTGTTAATGCACTTCATGGTGGATCTCAGATCCATTGCAGATTTAACCAGTGAATTAGGTATCTATGGCTGTCAACTAAAATTATGCACCATGTCATTCTCAAATATCTGTTAGGATCTATTACTCCGGGACCTGTGAGTGGGTGACAAGGACAGAATCCAGTTTGACTGCAGACCCTTATGGCAGCTTACTTCCCTTTTCACAGCCAGGCTGAAGCCCACCTCAAAAGAATAATAAAACTATTAGCTAACAGTAATGGAGGGCTGACTGTGCTCCAGGTGCTGCCCTCTGCTCTTGCACGTGCTCCCTCGGCTAATGCTTCCAGCAGCCCTGTGAGCAGAGAGCAGTATTAGTCTCATTCTGCAGATGTGGAGATGGAGACACAGAAGTTTAGATAACTATCCCACAGTCACACAGCTATCAAAAATTATAGTCTGAACCTAGAGGATATTATGCTCAGTGAAATAAACCAGGTGGAGAAAGACAAATACCATATGATTTCACTTATTTGTGGAACCTAAAAACAAAGCAATACAGAAGGAATAAAATAGCAGTAGACTCATAGACACTGAGAAGGGACTGGTGGTTAACATGGGGGAGGGGGATAAGGGGGCACAAAAATTCTCAATCATAATATAAGTTGGTCACAGGGTTGGTGGTACAGCATGGAGAATACAGTCAATGATTCTGTAACATCTTCCTGTGTTGACAGATAGTAACTGTTCTAGTGGGAGTGACAATTTAATAATATGAGTAACTGGTGAACCACTTTGTTGTATACGTGAAACCAACGTAAGATTGTGTGTCAATGATATTTCAATAAAAAATCAGTCAGGATTTGAACACAGACTTATATGAGGCTTGACTAACCTCATATAATCCCTGTTTCACCTACCTTCCTGGCACTATACTTATTCACTTGTAGGTTATTAGGAGGTTTGAGAGAATGAGACTTCAAACACAACCTTGCCTCCATTTCAGAAGTTTCTGTCTCACGTGGTGACCTCAGCTTCTTACTGTTGCTCTTGGCATCTTGTGATGTGCCATGTCCCCTGGGAGCAGTACGAGTCTCAGGATAAGGGCAGGTCTTCCCAGCTTCTTGCCACCGACAAGACCATGTAAACCAGACATTATAAACATGAATGCTCCCAGGAGCTGAGTAAGCTCCTAAATGAAGGAGCATAAAGAGTAAAGCATGGTGAGGATGAAGGAAAACTGGAAGCATGTGTCCAGAATGGGCAGCTTCTCCATGGCTCCAGGGGACCCAACCCAGCCAGGCCATCCAGCCTTTCAAATGAACTGAAAATGTGGCATTTCATGTAAGACCTATCAATGTGTAAATATGGGAAACTCATTCAAATTTCAGCAATTATTTCAAACATTGCAATGGTCAAACTGTATGAGTCAAATGAAAAATACTTCGAGGCTTCTGCTTGCTCTGGAGTACAAATCTGGAACCACTGAGTTGTATCCATGCATGGCCTACCCTCTACCAGACCTCAGTAGGTAGTGTGCATTCTAAAATTATTGAAAACCCCAAAGAGACTTTATTTCTGTGGTTTATGTCTATCAATATTGGCTGTATTTGAAATTAAAACTGAAAATGTATGTATTGATTAATTTACATAACAATAATGAACCCATTACATGTTAACATAAATAAAATATTTTTATAACAAAATTATATTTTCAGAACCAAAATACAGCCAGTGGGACAAGTATCATTGTGTGTCTTGCTTAACAAAAGCCAGCTGGATTCTCATATCTGCTCCTGCATTCAACCAGTTGTGACATGATGTTTTGGTTGAAGTACAAGGAAGAAAATCTATCCTCACATGGCTGCGTAGTTGGTAAGGGGAGGAGTATTTTTAGCCTACTCAGATAACTGCGCTAATTCTTTTCACCACACCAAAACTTGACAAGTGGTAGTTTCTTAAAGGTTAGTTGCCATGTGGATATGAAATCATATCAATAAGCCCTTTGTGGCATTTTCAATGGCTCTTTTACCCATGCATGATTTTGCAACATCATGCCTCAGTCATTGGGAAGACACTGATCCACTCATTTATTCAGATATCCCAAATGCTTACCTAGTCTATTTTACAATATCAAAACAATCACATTCTTTTGCTGTATAATGTCACTGCCAATTTTATCAGACAGTCTAAATATTGAGAATCTGTCAAATTAAGGTTTTCCAAAATTCTAATCTTTGCTAAAAAGGTTAAATGTTATCATTGTCAACAAATACTGTCAGTAGTTTTTCTTGAACTGACAGGCTCACTTCATTTATTTTCAAGAAAATATCTCCCAAATACCCACATCTGCATGACTCTAGTTTATCTGTCAGTCTTTTAAAGGGAAATGATGGGGGAAACACCCAGCCACTGACTCAGGTCACAGCACAGTGGCATGTGCACTCTCCTCGCAGACAAAAGTATTTCGTGGGGCTTTGCGTTTTGTCACACATTCTATGAAAGAGACATGGACTCAAATGTCAAGAATTAATAAAACTAATCATTTTTTCTGTTCCATCAAGCACATCCTTTAATGAAACTTCTTTCCTGCACAGGTGTGATGGTGAAAATTAAGAAGACTGTTGGTCAAGTGTGGCGCCACCTGCTTGCGGTGAGCTAGGACTCCAGCAGTTTTATCCACCATTGTTTTTGCACCATTGGTGCAAACGTTAACACGGTGAAAAGGCAAATCGCATCTTAATGTTATTATGAGAATGGTTTTGAAGGGTCTCAGTGACCTTCAGGAACAACTCTGAGAACTGCATGCTCCGGACCACTTGACAAAGAGTGTATTAGTTTGCTATTTCTTCATAACAAATTATCACAAGCTTAGTAGCTTAAAACAACACACGGTTATTATCGTACAGTTTCTGTGGTCAAAAGTCCAGGGAGGCGCCACTGGGTCCTTTGCTAAAGTCCTCACAGAACTCATATCACTCCTCACCGGACGCTCTGGGGAAGACTCTGCTGCAAGTGTGCTCAGGTCGTCAGCTTCAGCTGTGGAATGGAGACCCGTTTAGTTGCTGGCTGTCCGCTGTGGGGTGGGAGAGGGAGCAGTCTCTACTCTTACAGGCTTTGCACACCCCTCCACAATGGCCTGCAGCACTGGCATCAGGTACCTCTCTGACTTCTGTGGCATGTCTCCGACTCCAACCTGAGGAAGTTCTCTGCTTTGAAGAGTTCACAGGATCAGACTAGACCACTCTGATAATCCAGGGTCACCGTCCTAAGATCTGTCACCTTAGTTACACCTGCACCACCCTTGTGTTGTATAACACACATGTTTACAGGCTCCAGAGACTAGGGCTTGGGCATGTTTGAGGGGCCATTCTGCCTTCACAAAGATATTGCAGCATATTGCTAGGTGGTTCTAAAAGGAAATGTGGCATGTTGAATAACTGTAAAGGGGCTGCCCATGGAGACCAAAGGAGGATATAGATGAGGTGAAGGAGTCATTGTTAAAATGCCTGCTGATTCAAATCTCCACCAGAAGAGTTTATTTTCACTCTGTTTAAATACCTCCCTTTCTCAGCCTTTCCAGCACCTGCTAAATACCAAGCCTTGCATTAGGGCTGGGGGTGAGGATGGGTGGGGGAGTTAGGCTAGAAGAGGAAGAAAGAAAATACATGGTCTCTGCCCCCAGAGGAGCTCACAGCTGAGCCCCTAGGTCTTTGGAACCTTGTACGTATCTTACATGTCTTGATATGTAAGACATACCACATTAAAAGGATTTTCTCACGAAGGTGCTCTTAACTGCTGAAAGCAGAATGGCAGAAGGAGAGAGGCAGGGACACACTTAAGATAATGCAGCAGCCTGTCAGCCTTTTTCATCACCATCCTCTGCCCTGCCCCCTCATGAAATAGGCTTTCAAATAAGTCCTAAAGGAATTCAGCTTTCTAAATAGCTCTAGACTTTGTGCCCTCCTCTTAAGCATGGTTCAATGGAAATACCCAGTGTTTTCAAGTCAGAACAACCTGGGTCCAAATCCAATCTTAGCTACCTGGATGTTGGATGTTGTCTCTTCGTCTCAATTTTCCCATCTGTGGAATGGGGAGAATAATTTGTAATTGGAAAGGTTTCTCTGACGATTTAAAATCATGTATGTAAGCACCCCAAACAACGCTTGGTGCTGCAGGGTGACCTCCCCAAGAAGTGAGATTAGTGTGCAGGTAGATTACTGAAGGAGTGTTCTGGTGTTATGGAAGGAAAACTGAGCAGAGGAAATGCTGGGCTGTGAAAAAGGTCTTAGCTGATCCCACAGGCAGATTTGAAGCTGGGACAGCCCTTCAAAGTTATCCCAGGTAGGGGAGAAGGGCCAGCCCTTAAGCCTTCTGATGGCCAGTGGAGCGGGCTGCCTCAAGAAGAGGGATGATACAGGGTGAGGCAGCTCTCTTCCACTGAGGAACTTTCTCAATATCTCTAGACTCTGTGCTTTCCTAGGAGCTGAGAAGGTCAGCTTCTCAGTTTCAGCAACTAGGGGAGTAACTCCTTTAGTCCTGAAAGGGAAATTGGGGCTGCACAGTATAATTCCATGACACCGGGTATATGACAAGTAGTTGTAATTTTAACACTTGCTATTATTAATGTCATCAGCATTTTTATCCTTTTTATAGTCACTGCCCCTGACTCAGTTTAAGTCTTGACATCTCTTGG